TGTCAATCCGTTTTATTTTAATCGGCAGTTGAATTACAGACTTTGAAAACACTGTTAAAATTAATTATTTCTTGCTATTTAGTAATTTCGTAATTAAAGAAATTTTTTCTTTTGAAAAATTTTTTGATATAAAAAATTCGGTGGATTTCATTGTTAAAAGCACCGTATTTTAATATAAGTTTTATAATTATGTCACCATTCGAAATGGAGAAAATTGCTTTCGAACACAGACCGTCTACAGACCGGCTTGCCGACATATAAAACAACATTGTGTAAGAGAAAGCTGAAAATATGTGTAAGTATATCGGCGAGCCCGTCTCCAGACGGTCTTGGTTTTTCTCCCCTGTAGGAAAAAGTTACTGTCACAGATCGAAATGGACATCAGTTTTGGATTTCTCGTGCTAAAATCACCATTCCTGAATTTTTCAACTCATAAAAAAATTGGCCTACTAGAGGGTTAAAGAGGTTCTAGTTACATTCTTCATAACGCACTGGGCAACAGATGAAATGTCATCATTCATTGGCAATAAATTAATAAATTTGAACTTTAAAAATTGTCATTCATTGTCATTATCACTTGGATAGATGAGGCACTGTCATGCGAAAATCATGAAGAGGCAGACACCAAAATCATCCACCATATTTGTGCCCCTGATTATGAAGCGAATGTAGTAATCAGAGCCTCAGACACGGACATTTTGGTAATTATGCTGGGCAATATGGACCATCTGAAGAATAATTCAATGCACATATGGATGGAAACAGGCGTTGGCTACAAGCAGCGATATATCGATGTATCTGAATTATATAAGCAATTAGGCCAATCTGTCTCCAAGAGCTTACCTGGGTTACATGCCACTACAGGGTGTGATTACAACCCAGCATTTTACCGAAAAGGGTAACAAAAACCGCCGAAGCTACTGAAAAAATCAGCAGAGTATCAGCAAGCATTCATTAGTCTTAGTGATGCTGATTTTTGCCAGTCAAAAAATTCGGTGTTAACGAGTCTGGAGAAGTTTGTGTGTGAACTGTACAACGTCTCTGGTCTATCCAGCGTTAATGATGCTAGATTTCAAATATTTAATGATACATTCAGTGTCAGAAACACCAACGAGCCGTTTAAGAAAAAATTCCGGGCGTACGATGCGACAAATCTTCCTCCGTGCAAATCCGAATTACGTCAACATTTATTGAGAGCACATTATATAGCCACCATCTGGGCAAATGCACATCTGGAACGTCCTACATCTTTACTTCCCGAATACTGCGAATGGACAAAAAATGACAATAAATACAACTTCTTTTGGTTCGAGGGAGATCAACTTCCACGGTTGGTCAGTGATGTAGTCCAGGAAGAAAACATGTCAGGTATTTATTTCTTCAATCGTTGTACTGATATTTCTATTCAGGACATGATTCTAATTATGCATGTTTATTCTTACAGAAGAAACTGAAGACGAGCTGGAAGATTCCGAGGACGATGAGCCAGACTACGATAACGAATAAAAAAATTACTTATGTATTACTATTTTTGTCGCATCTTTTGCAGAGAAAATAATAAAATTATTCTACTTTATTATAGTATTTTTTCCTATAATTTTTCATTTCGTCAACAAAGTATATTAAAAATTAGTAAGAAACAAGTTGATTTGAACGTCTGCATAGTAACGGATTTTTGGATCTGGCAGGGCATTTGCACCCAAAATTTCGTCTGGCTTCAAACATATAGCCTCCTGAGGATTCAACCTATGATAATTTATAAAATTTAGCCTGGTTATTATAGTGTAAATAGTCCACTTTTAATCGCCACTTTAGCCGCGTCTGGCACCCACTTTGCACCGCCCTACCAGTCTGGCCATTTTTTTTCGGTTTCGGAGAAGTACCAACACTGATATCCCAAAATACCAGACTGGTTAAAATAGTGTAATTGATGTGTTTTTTTTTGCATCCTTAAAAATCCTGGTGGCGCCAAAGCCACCCCTGGAGGGACGCCAGACTTTCAGCTAGTTTAATGGGCCGTCATAGCGGACTCATCATGAAAGTTCTAGCCTGGTTATATATAGTGTAACCAAAACCGTTGTCAGCTCTTGGACTATTATTGTTAGTTTCGAAAGAAAGATTCAATAAATAAATAAATACATTAAGGGTGAACATACCAAAACTGCGACACTTAGATTACTACCAGAAACATACTAGTAGGCTTTGAAATTATTTTTTTTGTATTATATAACTTTGAAGTTTATATGTTATAATAATAATAATAATAGATTGGCGCTTACACATATGTTAGTGTTTGGCCGAGCTTCTCCTCCGATTTGTGGTGTGCGCCTTGATGTTGTCACACAAAGCGGAGGGACCTACAGTTTTACGCCGACTCCGAACGGCGATTGTATTTTTATGAGAAGCTGTTTTTCATGGCAGAAATACACTCGGAGGTTTGCCATTGCCTGCCGAGGGACGACCGCTGTTAAGAAAAAACNGGTGCTGATGAGTGAAAGCGCGCACTGCTTACCACTACACCACAGCAGCGATGTTATTAAAATTTTAAAATATTAGTTACTATTTGCTCCATATGCAAGTGATCGGTATTTTCATCGCACACGCGCCATCATGTTCTGCACGAATGCATCATCGACTTTACGCGATGCGCACAACTACTTTGTTTTGCACTCTTCAATATTTTTTACTGTTTCCCCTGTTTTCTTCAAGATTCCTTTGACAGTTGACCAACGTTCCCCAATAGGACCTAGCTCTGGGCTATTGGGTGGATTTCAGTCGTGAGGTACAAAATTGATGTTATTTGCATTATACCACGGCAATGTGTGTGTGGTGGCAGCTGGCCATGTCCGCCTAGAACAGTGGCCTACTACCTTATATATTGATAACTGACAGAAGACGCGTTTTGAGGCACTCATCCCGATAAACTTAATCATTCATTGTCCCGGATGGGAAAAAAGGTTGCTCTTTCGGCCACAGGAACACATAACTTGCCAAACCATGTTTGTTTTTTGGAAATTTGGACTTCATTTTCAGCTTACATCTTCCAGGGGCATCTTGACGACTTGCAGCAGTATACAAATCTTGACCTGCAATATATTTTAAATTTTTAAAGCAGTAGGTTTCGTAGTCCATAACAATGCAGTTGTATTTTTTACTTTGGAATTCATACAACTTCCCACTGCGGGATTTCGTTGTAATATTCTACTTTGCGCCTCAGTCTGGCGCTGTTTGAGCTGTAGAACATCTCAATGAAGCTTTCCGCTTTACATTTTGTACGAAAAACTGCGATATCCGTACGGATTTTGCAACACAACGCGACAAAACCTTCGGATCTCGCGAAAACGCACTGAGGACCTTCCGTGCACTGTTTTTATCCCTTTGACTATGCTAACCCCCGCTCCCTGGTTTTCTCGTAACTGCCAGGCCTTATTTGTACCGATTAAAACCCTGCAAACTGTGGAATAGTGCAATCTTAAGTTTTTAGCAATTTTACGTGTACTTAAGGCCGGATCATTTATAAACTCGTGCAAAATGGTTTGTCTCGTTTCTAACTCGGTTGCCATTTTTANTTACTGTTTCCCCTGTTTTCTTCAAGATTCCTTTGACAGTTGACCAACGTTCCCCAATAGGACCTAGCTCTGGGCTATTGGGTGGATTTCAGTCGTGAGGTACAAAATTGATGTTATTTGCATTATACCACGGCAATGTGTGTGTGGTGGCAGCTGGCCATGTCCGCCTAGAACAGTGGCCTACTACCTTATATATTGATAACTGACAGAAGACGCGTTTTGAGGCACTCATCCCGATAAACTTAATCATTCATTGTCCCGGATGGGAAAAAAGGTTGCTCTTTCGGCCACAGGAACACATAACTTGCCAAACCATGTTTGTTTTTTGGAAATTTGGACTTCATTTTCAGCTTACATCTTCCAGGGGCATCTTGACGACTTGCAGCAGTATACAAATCTTGACCTGCAATATATTTTAAATTTTTAAAGCAGTAGGTTTCGTAGTCCATAACAATGCAGTTGTATTTTTTACTTTGGAATTCATACAACTTCCCACTGCGGGATTTCGTTGTAATATTCTACTTTGCGCCTCAGTCTGGCGCTGTTTGAGCTGTAGAACATCTCAATGAAGCTTTCCGCTTTACATTTTGTACGAAAAACTGCGATATCCGTACGGATTTTGCAACACAACGCGACAAAACCTTCGGATCTCGCGAAAACGCACTGAGGACCTTCCGTGCACTGTTTTTATCCCTTTGACTATGCTAACCCCCGCTCCCTGGTTTTCTCGTAACTGCCAGGCCTTATTTGTACCGATTAAAACCCTGCAAACTGTGGAATAGTGCAATCTTAAGTTTTTAGCAATTTTACGTGTACTTAAGGCCGGATCATTTATAAACTCGTGCAAAATGGTTTGTCTCGTTTCTAACTCGGTTGCCATTTTTAGCTCAACTAGGAATCAAATTCAAATGAAATTTCTTCTACGTCGCAACTAAGGTCATGGTCAACTTATGGTATTTGAATTTTAAAATATTGAAATCTTTTTGGGTAAGTTATAAGCTTCCCAACGTGTAGCAGTTTTGGTGAACACACCATTATTATACAAAAAAAAAGTGTGGCAATTGCTAGTCAACAGAATTTGAGAATGGTGATTTTTCTTTATGATGATAGAAATGGTGATTTTACAATTTTTAATTATTCCGTGTGAATATGATGTATACATATTGCGTTTTTTTCAGTTTTTATTTCAAAATTTCTATCAACGAGTAAAGATGACTGCAAATATTAATAAAAAACGAAGTGGAATATGGCATTTTTTGGGCGAATAAATGAAAGTTTTCCCTCTTTTCCCTACATACACCATTAGAACTATTACACATTTCTGTGTTATTAAAAGAACTAGCGAACGCAATAGCCATAAAAAATCACTTCAATTAAAAATCGCAATCACTCTTTTCAGTGATACTGATAATTTTTCCGTTATCTTACAGCACTAAACAAAATTGATATGGATCGAAGTGTGGACTCAATTGGTAGCTGCTCACTCGATGTAGACGCTGATTCAACAGATGTATCAGGTATATCATGCATATGTTGATCTTCCAATAATATTATACTGATGCACAAAAATTACCTTAAAAAAAGTTAAATGAAATTGAAAGGCTTCTTTGTATCTGCAACTAACCTGTAACTAATCCACATTATTAAAATAGTTCAGTCACCCTCAGTAAGTTGCAACAGAATTTAATTAAAATTTAATGCAATACGCTTGAAAACTGTATTTAATGAAGAAAAATAAATAATATTTAAATTTTATTTTGGATTTTCGGGAATATTTAGCATCGAATACATCCCTTTTTAGTGTCCAACAGTAGTCAGTGGACTCCATAGATATATCCTGATGAACCCATCGCCGTGTTCGTCGCTAACGGCACCCACATTTTCAGGAAAAAATTTAAATGTGAGTGTAAGAAGTTTATCTTAAGCGACATATTGCATTCCATATTCTTGTAGGCTTATTGTGACCAACTGTTCAAAGTTTTCGGCTTTGTGGTTTTCAAAAAAATTACGAACAATATTTCGAAAACATGTCCATGCAGATTTTTCGATCGGATTAAGTTTTTCTTCAAACTGTTTATCAACCAATAGGTCTCTAATTTGTGGCCCTACAAATTTCCCTCCATTATTTCTGTTTTTTCTACGTCATTGACTTTTAACAGTTAGTTAACCGTAAATATAACAAAAGTTATCAGGATGATTTACATACACTCTGGGCATCTTCTTACGTTTATTAGAATCACACTTTTGTAAACAAAATACGCGTAATCTTTTCAGTCAATTTTTGAGTAAAATCGAGGGTAATTGAATAAAACTAAGTATGAGACTTATATGTGGTTAGATAGTAGTATCTAAAAAGATAACTTAATTGGTGACAGGTAATAAGATCAACGGAAATAAGGTCACCCTGGTGCGAAATGAAGTCAGTTGACATTATTACCTTTTCAAAAAAGAAATAAAATCCATTGACATTATTGCTTTTTCAAACATTAAATTTGCTTAGCGCGTACCCCGCGCGACCGGCGCGCCACACCACGTCACGCTACGCCCCCCTGTACATACCCTGCAGAAAATCTGACTAGCTCAGAACTAGCGTAGAACCAGACCTTTTGCCGACAGTACTAGTTCTAGCTCAATACCCAAGCAATGCTTTCAACTGTCCAGTTTTACGGCGATGTCATTAGCGGTGGCAATTGTCGCCCAGTGCATTACTTTGCAACTAGTTTTTAACCGATTCCGTTTTGGACAGTTTTTTTATAAGAAAACGTTTTTAAGATTCGATTTTTGAATATTTTTTTCTCGTTTTTTCCTTTCTGTTACAGATTCCACTTTTGTTACATATTTTATTAAAAAAAAAAAATATTGTAAGCTCCTCGCATCAATTTAGATTCATTAAATTTTAAAACTCACAACTGCTTCAACCGCGATTTAAACTCGCGACCAACGATGCTTGAGTCTGAGGTCTTCTTGCTGAACTACTTTCGTATTGTACGAGTAGTGAGTATTTGCAAATTTACACCGCAAGTTTCAACTGTCCCGCTCTGTACCTGTTTTGCACTTGTTCAGGGATAGTTCTGATATATGTAGCGCTTTGTCAGACTGTCTCTAAATACATACATGCATAACTACATATTCACGTAATCATTTTCCGCCTTCAGGTCTAAGGTTTCGGTCAGTCTTGCGTAAAAAATATATGCGATTAAAATGCACTAACCGTGTTAGTAGTCGATTCAATTAAGAGAACTCTCAGAAGTGCTGCTGGCCAATTTACAATTTGTACCTATGTATGTGCGTATGTAAGTGTTTGAAATTTTATATTAAATTCTAATAAGAAATGTAAACAAACGTCAAAAAAGAAACAGTGGTGCCTATTTAATTCAGAAATCCCTAGGGTTACTTAACTCTGGGCCAGTTTTAAATGCTGCAAGACATTGTCTGGTTTAGGAATAAAACAATTTAACTCTGAGCTACTTAACTCTCTAATTATATAGTTAAGTCTGGATGGTCTTATTCAGTCCTTTTAGGTGAACTTTTATCTAATAGTGCTGGGGTTTCTGATAAAAATTTAGTTTTAAATCAATTAATTTTTGTTTTTTTCGTGAAAATGGTTAAAAATTCCAAGATAAGCATACCATCGGGTCTCTCTCATTACCAGGGCCGAAAAGTTTAAGCTTTTGCTTGGAATTGCTTATTCAGAGTTTCCAAGCTTAGGGGAACTTCGGGTATTGTGGTAAAGGAGTGTAATTTGGTATAGCCGCTATCTTTAATTCTGGCAAGTCTACATCTGATATTACCTTAACATATATTGACTTAAAAAAAAGCGGGGTTATAATACAGATATGAAGTAAAACCAGTTGGTATTCTTTAAGTCGCACAAAACATGTGATCCAAAATTTTAAAGTTTTTGTAACTTTATTTGTATAAAAAATAAATTGATTTAGAAAGAAAACTCTGTTAATATTGCAAAAAGTAAGTTTTGTATTTCGTTTATCAAGGCTCGGATAATAGAAAATTAATGTTTTTGCAGATTTTGTATGAGTTTGTTTGGAAATTTTGAAAATCGGCCAATGTGGTAAACAAGAGGCCGCTTAAGGTACTACAATACCACATTACACCCCATAAATAAATTTTTAATTACTTGAACACGACTTTTATTCTAGATGCCAAAAATAGGGGGAATCCGAAAATGGACCCAAGACAACATGATCACAGCTGCTTTATCGTAATGTGGTTCCAATTTTTGAAGAGGTATTTTTTGAATTCTTTTAAATTTTTTCAATAACTTTGTTTTTTTGAATATACATACTGTATTTCATTGAAAAATATTTTATAACTAAAGTTTCGCTGTTCTCGAATATAAATAATGGTTACAATAAAGCTTGTACATTTGTTACAGATCTCAAAAAACAAATACCTATTCCACAATACCCGAAGTTCCCCTAATTTTAATGATCATGCTTATTTTGCTTATTTCAATGTATAAAGCTCTAAGTACGGAACTTTTCAGAAAACGATCAAGAAATAAATTGCTATTATTTCGTGTATGTGCATAGTAGTGTCCAAGGAGTTTTGACATCTGATATTTTACAGCCTGTTGTCTCACTTTTTCGTTCCGAAAAACTGGAACGGGCATATATGTATTTCTGTTGAAAACAAGAGTACCTTGTGCACTTCACAAACAAACTTTAGCAAACCATAGTAGAAAGCGTAGCAAATTTCTTAACAACTTTGTACTGATTAAGAAAATTTGGTTCAATAAATATTTTTTGACCATTTCTTTGGCGTTTTTTCATTCGTCGAAATATTTACAAATAATAACATAAAACAGATTTGGTTTTTATTAACCCTTAACTTCAATTCCATTTCTGTTGGGTACAAACATTTTAAACCAATGGTTTGTTTTTACGGGAAGGCACTGGTGCTATTGAGAACAATTTATCTCAAATGAAGAATAACGAATATTTAAAAAAACTTAAAACGACCAGAGGAGATCTTTATTATTTGAGAATATCAAGCAACACTTGATTGTCCACGGTAATTTTTCAATCCTTGAAATAAACCGAATAAAAAACATTAAACTGACTAAATTTGGTTGTTTTGCGAGCATATTTGCAAGCATATTTACCAATGTTTTAGTGCTTATTTAAGCGCTTAAAATGGATCTTTTCTTGCTTATTTTCTTCGGCCTGTGTGGTTTTCACGTTAAAAGCCTAATTAAGGACTTGGGTAGGTATTTAGTACTACGCTACCAAAAAAATTATAAACAAATTCCATCACGTAAATTTTTCGAGAACATAACTTATATCAATTTTCTTAGCGTTAACGCGCTTTACTAGCATTAACTTCGAAATTACATAAGTTTTTCTGATTTACTTTGTCACTTGAGGGTATTTTTAACTAATATTGTTAGTTTTCTAAACAAAAATTCAATTATACATTAATAAAATTTTGGCTTTTCATGCAAATCGGTAAAAATTCTTGAATATACAATTCACCAATAAAAAAATCTCGATGTCCTAAAAAAAGGTCATAGATGTATTTTAATATAACATACCCAGATATTAAAAAAAAAAAAACATAATTATTGGAAGGGGGGCCTGTGCTATAAAATCTACTTGGTAAAATGGCTCTAAATCTTCATATTTCCTCTAGTCTAATCATTTGAAGTGTTAAGACTCTATTTTGTTATTAGAATACTTAACTCAAGGAATGAAACCGAAACCGTTTGAAACCGTTAAGTTTTTCAAAACCGAAACCGAAACCATAGCCGTTATCTTGACCTGAAAAGGAATGAAACCGAAATCGTTTCAAGCACAGGTTTCAATCGGTTTCCAGAAATTTATAAAAATTATAATTAAAAATTTCTTTGAAATAAATGATTTATTTAACCAAAATCAGCAATATTTTGCTAAAATTATCGTTAAGTTGTAATCAGTATGGAAAAGTAAGTATATTTAATTTCTCCAAAAACAATCCTTGGAAGGTACATATTTATTTAATAAATAATAATGTTTTGTCAAACTTGTTTTCATTTTTTTATTCCAAAACCGAAACCGAAACATATTTTGAGGAACGAAACCAAAACCGAAACTGAAACCGGAACGTTACTTTGAATCGGTTTCATTCCTTGATTTAAATTAAAGTTTTTTTGTAATCCCGTTATCTTCCTTAAATTCAGAAACCTTTTTACGGTTGTCTTTTAAGGTTTTCCGTAACTTAACGAATAACCCTCCTAACCCTCATTTTATACAATAACTTTGAAAGCTGATAAGAACTAATGTGGCAGTATAGTTTCACACTTTGTTTACAGAAAAGAGGGCGCGTTAATAGTTGAAACAGAGTCGATTGTAAAGTTTAGCTTAATTGACAGATATTCAATATCAAAAACGGCAACCAACTTTATTTTGACTATGAATACGCCCCATGTCTTTATAATGTCTCTATTACTAGAAAGCAAAAAAGTTAAATGAATTATACCCTGGGAGGAAAATCTGTCCATGTAACAACTTTATATAGTACG